ACTACTACTACTCCTACTACTACCCACTGCTGCTACTAGTACTACTACTACTACTCCTACTACTCCTACGACGACTACTACTACTACTACTACTACTACTACTACTACTACAACTACTCGTAATGTTACTCCTTCTCCTCCTCCTACTACCACTACTACTACTATTACTACTACTACTATTACTACTACTACTACTACTACTACTACAACTACTACTATACTACTACTACGACTACTACTACTTACCTACTACTACACTATACTACTACGACGACTACTACTAATACTACTACTACTACTACTACTACTACTACTGCTACTACTACTACTACTACTACTACTACTACTACTGCTACTACTGTTACCACGACTACGACCACTACAAATACTATGTCCATTACTACTACTATTTCTACTACTACTACTACTACTACTACTACTACTACTACTACTACACTACTACTACTACTACTACTACTACTACTACTACTACTACTACTACTACTACTACTACTACTACTACTATTACTACTACCGCAACTAATACTATTACACCTATTCTCGGAGCTCTCTGAGGCTTTCAAATGATTTCTGAAGCTCTCTGAAGCTTCCAGAAGCTTTCAGGAGCTCTCACGAGCTGCCTGGAAGCAGAAGCTTCCAGAAGCTCTCAGAAGCTGTCAGAAGCTTTCAAACGCTCTCTGCAGTTCTCGGAAGATATCAGAAGCTTTCTAAGGCTTCCACGAGCTTTCTGCAGCTTCCAGATGAAACCCGAAGCTTTCCGAAACTCTTTGAGGCTTTCTGAAGCTGTCTGAATCAGGCAAAAACTTTCGGCTGATGTTCGAAGCTTTCAACGGTGGTCAGAAGTTCTCGAAACTTCGCAAAACCTGTCATAAGCTTTCAAAAGGTTTCAGAAGCTCTCGAAAAGGTCTCTGAAGCCTGCGAAAGCTGTCAGGAGCTATCGAAAGCTCGCAAAAGCTGTCAGCAATGTTCAAAAACGGTCAGAAGTGATTCCAAAACTCCCTGAAGCTTCAAACATTCTCAGAAGTTCTCGAAAGTCTGAAAAATTCGGCAGAAGCTTTCTGAAGCTGTCAGAAGCCTTCAAAAATTCTTTGAAGCTTCCCAAAACTGTCAGAAGTCTTCGAAAGCTTTTCTGAAGCTTGCAAGACTGTCAGATGCCTCTAAGAGTTCGCTACATATGTCAGAAATTCTCGAAAGTCCTCTGAAGCTCTAGCTTGTCACGAGCTTCAAGACGTCTGGAAGCGGGCAAGCACCCAGTCCAGCGGGAAACAATTCATTGTACCGGGGAAAAGAATTATTCCCCTGATGAGAGATAGGGCACCCCTGCGGGGGAGTACCCTGGGCATCCTCCAGGGCGGTGGCCCACACGGGCCACGCGACCCGAAAGAGGGGGGGGCCCACACGAGGCTTTGACCGGGCCCAGCCCACGCACGCGCCGCCACACGGCCGCCACACTGCCACATGATCTTTCCCCTTTTCCGTCCTCCTGCGGTTATGAGCTGATGATGCTGTTATGTCCCCTCCTTTTTCCCTCTTTCCGTGTGTGTTGGGCCTCGGCCCCGAACTTTTCTGTTTTGGTCTACCCCCCCAGGGGGGCCCGACCAGACTTGCCCAGGGGAGACTGCAGCGCTCGGATAATATCAGTGCCATCAGCGTCTCAGCGTCTCAGGAGAAGAAGAAGAAGAAGAAGAAGAAGAAGGAGGAGGAGGATGAGAAGGAGGAGGAGGAGGAGGAGGAGCAGGGAGGGGAGTGGAGTGCAATGGTGGGGATGGGAAACACATCCATAGAGACGAAGAGCGAGAGAGAGAGAGAGGGAAAGAGAGAGATATAGAGATATTTCATGCATATTAGCATCACGCAGATGTACACACACATCTTTGTACCAACGTGTGTACATGTATAATGTACGTATATATACATACATACATACATACCTATGCTCAGGCAGCGGGGCAACACATTTGTGAGGAGATGGGATGTGATCTGAGACGCGGGTTAGAGGAGACTCATCACGCGCCTCGTCCTTCCTCCTCCCGATCGTTGTCCTCCTCGTCCTCGTCCTGAGGCGTCCTCGCGCCTCCTTCGCCAGTTCGTGCTGTTCGAGTCGCCGGGCGCCAAGAATTCCCGACCCTTCTCCCCATGGCCTGCTCTTCATCCTGGGCCGTGTTGTCGACGGTCCTCGGAGGACGGAGGAGGAGGAGGAGGAGGAGGAGGAGGAGGAGGAGGAGGAGGAGGAGGGAGGAGGAGGAGGAGGAGGAGGAGGGAGGAGGAGGAGGAGGAGGAGGAGGAGGAGGCGGAGGCCGAGCGCGGCGGCAGGACCTCGGCGCGGGGCCTTTCCTCTGGTCGTCGGACGCCTGGGCCCCTCTCCGGAGGCCTCCACCTGGCCGCCAGAGGACCCTGCGAGCCGACGCCGCAAAAGTCGCCTGGCGAAGGGCCCAACCATTCATGAGCGAAAGAAGGACGCACGTGTACATGAATCCACGCTGGTTTCGAGAGCACGCATTGCACAGATGTTCGTATAACGCGGCCGGTCTCGCGAATCGAGGGGCCGTGTTCATGTACATAGCTGGGCGCGTACGTCCTTTGTGGGCTCCCGAACCATGGGCAGTTGTGAGTACCGCAATTGTGAATATCTTCTTCGGTGGCGCTCCCTAAGGGGGTCACGAACCGTATGAGGGTGTGCGCCGAGTTGCGTGGCGGGGCACACAACACGAACGAAGACGATAGGTCCAATTACGAGAGACCGAGCGCGGGTGAGTGTGAGCGCGAGTGAGTCTGAGTGTGAATGAGTCTGCGCGCGAGTGAGTATATTTGCATGAATGCGAGCATGGCCACGTCTGGTGTGTATATATATATATACACGAATGTGAACGGTTCGCGTCTGCCTGACCCTGAGTACTCGTGACACTGAGCGTGGCCGCCGCAGGAACCCCGACAGCAGCGCTCGCACGCCGCGGCGCCCATGTTGGCACGCTCCTCACGAGGATCGCGCCCGCTTCCTTCCCTTTTGTGTTCCTGCCCGTGCACGCCCATGTCCAAGGCTGCGGGCGCGGCGCCGCACGGAGTCCCCGCGACGCGCGTCGGTCGCCCCGGAAGGGTCCCGGCGACGCGCGCGGGTCGTCCGCTGCGCGGAGCAGAGAGAGCTAGCTGGCTGGCTGATAGCGGGCAAGGCTGCGGCCGCTGGGCAGAGCGACGACGAGGGCGAGCGCGGAATTCCCGCGACGCGCGCTGGTCGCCCGGAGTGTGTCCCAGCGACGCGCGCGAGTCGCCGAGAGGGTCCCAGCCCCGAGAGGGCCCCCACAAAGGGTGCGCCAAAATGGGGCGGCGGCGCCATGCGAATTGCGCCACTGGGACCTTAGGTCGAGTTCCTTATGGGGCTGCGAGGCGCGTGAAGGGCGTGCCCACATGGGGCGGCGGCGCCATGCGAATTGCGCCACTGGAACCTAAGGTGGAACTCCCGATGGGGCCACGAGGCGTATGAGCTGTGTGCCAAAATGGGGCGGCGGCGCCATACGAACTTCGCCACTGGGACCTGAGGTGGAGCTCCCTCTGGGGTCACGAAACGTGCGAGGGGCGTCCCAAAATTAGGCGGCGGCGCCATACGAACTTCGCCCGTGCGACCTGAGGTGGAGCTGCCTGTGGGGCCACGAAACGTGTGAATGGTGTGCCAAAATGGGGCGGCGTCACCATGCAAACTGCGCCACTGGGACCTGAGGTGGAGCTCCTTCTGGGGTCACGAAACGTGTGAGGGGTGTGCCACAATAGGGTGGCGGCGCCATGCGAACTGCGCTACTGCGACCTTAGGTGGAGCGCCCTATGGGGCCACGAAAGGTGTGAGGGGTGTGCCAAAATGGGGCGGCGGCGCCATGCGAATTGCGCCATTGCGACCTTAGGTGGAGCGCCCTATGGGGCCACGAAGCGTGTGAGGGGTGTGCCAAAATGGGGCGGCGGCGCCATGCAAACTGCGCCACTGGGACCTTAGGTGGAGCGCCCTATGGGGCAACGAAACGTGTGAGGGGTGTGTCAAAGTGGGGCGGCGGCGCCATGCGAACTGCGCCATTGGGACTTTAGGTGGGGCTCCCTATGTGGTCGCGAAACGTGTGAGGAGTGAACCGAAACAGGGACATTATGAAGGCAGGGGCAAGGACTGGGAAAAGGGAGGAGGAGGAGGAGGAGGAGGAGGAGGAGGAGGAGGAGGAGGAGGAGGAGGAGGAGTGGGAGGAGAATATAATATAATAGAATATCGCAATGGGGCTCAAGAAACCACGACTCGAGGAATCGCCAAGCCCTGCGCGCTGCGTTTGCAGCTCGAAACTCCCTGCGGGCGGGTGGCCAGTCGGGTGCCGACCCGCGCCGCCTCTACCGAGCGGTCTCCCATCAGGGCGCGCAGCCTGGGAGACGCCCAGCTGAGAAGACCAGGCTTCAGCGCCGAAGCCTGGCGCCATCCGCAGGCGTCAGGAGCGCACGGGAGTCGGAGGGAGGGAGGGAGGGAGGGATGCGGGGCGCTGTCTCTTCAAAGCGAAGACCCAACACCACAGGATGGTTGGGACAAAAATGAGGGGACGATTTATCTGACTATTGTTGAATAGTTTGGGACATTATTTGATTATGGGTTTCGTCCAAGATCCGCCTGTAGGAGGACATCCCCGACCCAACCTCAGACCCCATTATCCTCAAACGATATGTCAAGCCAGACCGATCCGTGAGGGCCCCAGGGCCCGAAGACGGACGGATCCCCGCGCGTGCAGAGATGGTGGCGCCGTGATCTCGGGGGAGTCCAGCAGCTCCCAAGCAACCCCAGCCACTATCTTGCTGGAAGGTGAGGGGCAAAGACATAAAGCAACGACAAAGCAAAACACCATCGAAACGAATACCACATGATTGTGTCTGGTTGAGAACAATTCGCCTGGAAGGGGAGGAGGGCGGGGGGCAGCAGGGGCGGGCGGGGACGGAAGGCACCGCAGAGCCTCCCTTGCCCACAGGGGGCCGCCACGCCCATGGTGCCCCACGCCATGGGCGCCGCCACGCCCATGGTGCCCCACGCCCTGGGCGCCGCCACGCCCATGGTGCCCTACGCCCTGGGCGCCGCCACGCCCATAGTCACCCAGGCGAGCAGCCTCGTGCAGGAGGGCCATCTAGGCCTCCCAGCTTGAAGTCGGGCATGCCCCTATGCAGGAGGAGTACTCAAGCATTGTTAAAACATAGCCTGGGGACGATGCTCCAATTATGTTGGACAATGTTGGGCATGTGTTCACTGTTTTCTACTTCTCGCCCAAAATCCGCCTGTAGGGGGACATACCCGACCTAATCCTAGATGGGGTCGGAGTAGATGGGGGTGGGGGATCGCCATGCACCGCCCATGCATCGCCGATGCGGCTCGATGCGGAGCACGATTTCCCCCACGCCGATGGCGCCGATGCATCGCCGATGCCCTCGGCGATGCGGCGCGATCCTCCGACCCCATCTATTCGGCCGCATCTTAAAGGAGGGCAGAGGGAGAAAAAGAGAGAGAGAGAGAGAGTAACTGTTTTCCGAGAACAACCCAACTGGACACCTCGCGAGCCCACTGCAGAGCACTTCGTGAAGTGGCGGCCGACCTACGCACTGTGAGCACCGCTTGGGTGCGCAGGCCACTCTGAAGAGGCTCGAGCACAAACGACGATGGCACGGAAGAGAGGTGGAGGATAGGATGGGACTTGGATGGTAGGAGGATGAGATGAGATGTGGCCTGCGAGCACCATGCTCCGGAACCGCTCTGCCGGAGCACGGGGGAACGTGCTCCGGAAACGCTCTGCCGGAGCACGTTGGGGAGCACGGCGGAACGTGCTCCAGAAACGCTCTGCCGGAGCACGCTGGGGAGAGTGAGGCGGAGAGATGTTTGAGGGTGGGCTGAGAGAGAGAGAGAGAGAGAGAAAGAAAGTCCCATCCAAGGAATCTCTTACGCTTTACGTGCGACCGCGTGCCAGGCTAGACCTTGGTGCCAAAGGCCGAGGGGACGGAAAACGGAGGATATGGAAATGGAGAGAGGGAGGGAGGGCCCAGCCTTGGCGGCGAAGCGGAACAGGCTTTGCTGCGGCAGCCTGGTGGAGCAGTCGTCTGCCCTGCCCTCGGGGTCGACTCTGATGGACAGCTTACGATTCTACTAGCAAGGGACAGGGTCAAGGGGCTCGCTGGAATCGTGCCATCTACCACCTGGGGTACAGCCCATGGCGCATGAGGGAACTGCCTCCCCGAGCCTCGGCCACGCGGAGCAGACTAGGGTGGGTGTTCGCACCACTGGTGCACAGCCAGTGGAGTGGGCACCTCAGGATCGGGGTCCCCCCGTTATTTTTGTTTTTCTGATATGTCTAGGGGAGGGGGAGGAGGAGGAGGGAAGGAAGACTGTAGACTGCAAAATCAGCACCCCTCCGAAGCCGATATGCTCTCCACGGGGACGCATTCGGAGACGGCTGGGAGTGCTTCACGCTTGCGGGGCCTACAGGGCCTCTGGAGGTACTGCTGGGGGTCGACACCTGTTGCGCGAGAGAAAACCGTCGAGATTGTTACTCCTACTAAACCTGAGACACATGACTGGACTATGGCCGCCTCACTGCTCGAGAAAACCGAAAAGGGAAGCTCCAGGGTATCTATCACATACTGGACACACCTCGCTTCACGCACGTGGCTCCAATTTAACAACCAGTATGCTTTCAACACCTCGATATGGCGATAGCCAGCTGATGGAAGCCATAAGTTGATGGTCACACCCAGGACGATGCCAACGATGAAAAAGATCAGCACATAACCACGTAGCGTATGTGGAGTGACCAAAAATTCATCATACCCCTCTGGGATCAAGCGGTTGGGATCATCACGCAGCTGTTCGTTACGTTCCGGTCCTCAGCCGATGCGCCCAAGGACCACATCAAACAAAGAACTCGCCTTGTCTTTGTGGCTCGACGGCAGCTGCTTTCGCGGCATGTGGCTCCGTAGCACCTTGCTGGCATTGGCGGTAGCCACCTTGTCGTCCTTGAGCGCCTTCACGAGAATGGTCTCGACCGCCACCTTCTCACCGGTGGCGGGCAACTTGGTTTTGGTGCCGACTACCGCCTGAAGCCACCCAAGTTCTGCACGTGAGAACTCCTTTTTCTGGTCGTTCTTGGGCGGCGTCGGACTGCGTGCTGGTGGCGTCGGTGGGCACTCTCGCTGGCCTAGCTGCTTCTTGAGCTCGTCGGTCTGGGCCGTGAACGCGCTGCGCAGAGCAGCTGCCACGTACTCCCCCTGCTTGCGAAGCTCCATCTCCTTCTGGCGGGTCTGGAGGTCGTGCTGGTAGGCGGCGTACTCCTTGTCCACGGCAGCCAGGGACTTGCGAAGCTCCTCGATCGACTTCTGGGAGGAACGGTCGGAGTGGCCACGCTGGTGGCGGTCTCGGGAGCCTGCACGGCGGCTCGCGTCGCGGGACCGACGCTCTCGGGAGCGAGGAGGGTCGGGACTGTCATCATGGCGTCGGCCCCTCCTGTCCCTGGAGTCGGAGCGGCGGTCACGATCACGATCGCGGTCACTGCGGCTGTCCTTGTAGCGGTCGCGGTCTCGGTCGCGGTCGTGCCTGTCGTCCTTGTAGTGGTCGTACTTGTTTTTGTCGTACTTATCGTACCTGCCGCGGTCGTAGCCACGGTTGTAGCCCCAGGAGCCCCCCTGCCATCCACGTCGCTCTCTGTTGCTCATGGCTGGCGTGCCGGCGCAGCGGAAGTGGTGGCGCCAAACCCGCAGGACCGCCTGAACCCTTTGACCAGACACACTCCACGGTGCAGCATGAGCAGCAGCAATGATGATGTCGAAGGGGTAACTGAGGAGGATCAACTCAAGGACCAGCTCTAGGGCCCATGCGGTGGTGGCTCCGATAGTCAATGACAAGTACTGGGCCCTGGCATACCTGGACGTGAACAACGAAACCAACATGTCAAACTTTCGGGGCGGTAGCCCAGGCCACTCGATGATGTTGGACTTGGCCCGTTTCTCCTCCAAGCCCTGCAACCACGGCCGATTGGGGTTCTTGGGGAGCGCGAGGACCTGGCCCAGGAACGCGTGGAGCTCTAAATCGACCCAGATGCAGGGTTCCTCGGGGCCCTCCAATGGCGAAGCGGGGCTGAGCCTGATGGGGTACACCTGGCACAAGTAGTCGTGTGTAAATTGTCGACAGTAGTGAGTTCTCATCCCAAGAATGTCGTCTACATATCTACGTTGTCCTACTGGTAGTTCTTGGAGCGCTGAGGGGAGACGAAGCCCAGCGTGCCCCAGCCGTGGTAGATCGAGGCGAGCCTTGTACTCATACCAACACATTAATACCGAGAGGGCGACCCCTGAAAGCACGCCTCCTATAGGGAGCCCTCGCATTTCATACATAATTCCGCCAAGGGACACCAAGGATATTCAGGAAAACGCTAACAACGCTCGATGGATATCTGTGACTGAAATTCGAAACAATCCTGGCGGTGTCGATCCTGCCCACGGTCGTGTTCGTGGAGTGCGGGACTGGCTTACCAACGTCGAATCCACACCAATCACTTCAACTATCTTACAGGCAATCTCCGACCAGGCATGAGATATAGTGCCGGAATCGCATTGTTCAAAAGCCTGGTCCGCATCCACCACTACGAGGGAGAGGTGCTTCATGGGGGTCCCACAACACGCACACGAAGGGGATAACTCTGACGGGAGGGATTTCCGAAGAGCTCTGACTTCCTCCGCTGCATGGTTCAGGTTGAAGACCTCCGAACTCAAGCCCGACCGATGGAGGAGATCTCGAACTGCACGGCCTATTATTTGAAAGCCTTTAGACCCTGGTGCATCTGAACAATTAATGACCCTTCGCATGCAGCTATGAAGTGGCTTCTGGCAGACCTTCTGGCCCGCGGGGGAGAAGCACTATCCTTTTACCGTCGGAAAAACGTATGGTGGGCGAGTGGCCGCCGTCGGCGGCGGCATGTAGCGGCGGGTGCACAGCCACGGGGGCAACGCGGCTACGGCTCGGCCCCACATCCACACTGCCGCGTCGTGGGGAGAAATGTCCACTCGTAGTTTCCCGTCTGGGTCTGCCATGGCCAATTGGTGTAGGTACCTGATCATGTCGCAACCATCGCAGGCCCACACCTTGTCGCACTCCTTGTCATCTGAAATAATTACACACTCGTCGTTGTCATCTAGGGCGTCCTGCATCGTCTCCTCCATCTGCCTCCACGCATCTGGTGCTGCAGGCGGGGTCACCCAACGGCGCGCAACCCAATGATGAAGATGCCGAAGCCCTCGTCGAAGAACTTGGGGTGGTAGTCGTGCGCGTTGAGCCCATTCCTGCAGTGCAGTGGACGCCTCACGTATGGCGCGCCGCGGCTTCGGCCAACGGGGGAGTCTCCATGGCCCCGCCAGCCGGCTTAGCCGCCAAGGTTCCGAGGGCGAGCCCTCCGGGACATGTGGCAGAGCACTGGTCTCGAAGGTGGCGCAGAAGCGGCTGGCCGACACGTGGTCCTTCCAGCACCGCTGCTTCTGGAAGACAGCGCGTGGTGAACGTGCGTAGATTTCTCGAGTCGGAGCGTACCTCATCGACTTGCCCATCTGCTGGATCGACGAGGCGACCCATTGTCGGTATCGTTTATCTTGAAATTCGGCTGGCAGCCGCACAGCTGGACGTCGAGCGCATTGGAGGCGAAGGCGTCTCACGTGTAGGTCCAGGTGGTGTAGTGCCATCCGTTGCCTATGGAAGGACCTCAAGAAGAGGTGGGCCATGGAGGCCGCCCGATACAGGTGGTAGCCCATCTCGTGTCTGGTCATGTCCTGCATCAGAGGGAGCTCCTGCCACTTAGCGGCGAGGAGCGCCAAGATCAGGCCAACCCGCTTCTCGTGGAATAGCCACAAGGGGCCTTCTTCGCCCGTGAGGATGTACTGCTCGGCCTGCTGGAGGCGGTACAGGGTGGCAAACGGCGCGGCCTCGGAGAGGGCGCCTGGGTACTTGGCCTCAAACGAGTCGCTCTCAACCTTAAAAGGCACGGGCCCGACGGAATCGGGCATCGTGGAGGTCCAGACCGGTGCCGTCGTCCGTGTGCTGGGTCCTCTTCTCCACGAAGGTGGTCGACGACGTTGCGTCCGCCGAGTCCTCTGCATGGCATGTAGTTCTCCTTGGGCTCTGCGGCGGCTTACCGCTTCTGACTCACGTGAGTCGGCCATGTTACATGATGGCGCGTATCTTCTGATAGCGAGAGACTCATAGTGAAAACTTGCCTTCTCAGACTGTACCAATAGAATTGGCAAGAAATACAATGAACCAACACTCTTACGTAGCAGCCGGTATCTTGGCCGTCGTCCTGGACCGTGGCGTGGGTGAAGAACAGCGCGCACGTGCTCTGCAACCCTTCCCAGGAGGCCTGGTAACGGTCCTGTCCGGAGCGTGGCCTTGCCCACGTAGAGGCCCGAGTGGCTGCCCATGGCGTAGACAACGGCCTTGGTCGGTCCATCAGGTTGTCCAAGAAAACATTGGAGTAGCGACGGAATGAGAGGGTCATTCCAATTCTGTAGAGCGACTCTGTAGTCAGGGGCCAGCATGCGTTCCAGCTTCTTGGCCCAACGTGGAACCCGTCGCTGGCTTAGCGCACGACGGAGTCGAAGAATACCTGTCATGAAGAGGGCCGTTCCAATCGTGCTCCAAAGGTATACGCCACGGAGCGGTCGAAAATGTGCTGCGGGTCGGCCCGCAACATACTCGACCAACTTTGCTACTACGCCGGTAATCCTTGCAATGGCGTGCCGATGATGCCGTTGATTCCACATCCACAATCTGAGGCGGCTCGCTGCTTCATCTTGTGGTAACCTCGCGCTCTTGGCGAGGACGGCGTCCAAGACTGATTGCACCAAATTGTGGTCCTTGTAACGTTCCACCGCGAGGGGCCATCGGACCATTGGCCTCTCCACCGCCTCTTCGGCCTCTACGAGGCCGTTGACCAAAAACTGGCGGACGAAGAGATCGAGCTGCTGCTCAACCCCCGCGGTATCGTCCGAGCCGTCACGTCCGTCCAAGCTTGATCGATTCTCGCTGGCTCCGCGGCGAGGGCCGTGTGGTAGCTCATCTGTAACATCTGGCTCCATGGGTAGAAGAATTCGTGGAGCTCCCGGCACGTCGACTGGAAGAAGATCACCCATCTTGGTCGTTTCCCAATGTACTGCACGATAATGATGCGCACCTCGGCAGTGGCAAGAAGACCTTCAACAAATCCAGGTCCACGATGCAGCCTCAACGCCATAGTAGGAGTCGCCGAATAAGTAGAAGTACCAACTGAAGTCGTGTACGTAGTAAGGAGGAGTATGGAGGTATCGCCAGCCCGCGGGGAGCTGGTGCCTGAACCTTGGTCACCCGTCGCCGCCCGCAGGGGCCGTGTTAGACCAAGCCGTGAGAGAGTAACTGTTTTCCGAGAACAACCCAACTGGACACCTCGCGAGCCCACTGCAGAGCACTTCGTGAAGTGGCGGCCGACCTACGCACTGTGAGCACCGCTTGGGTGCGCAGGCCACTCTGAAGAGGCTCGAGCACAAACGACGATGGCACTCAAGAGAGGTGGAGGATAGGATGGGACTTGGATGGTAGGAGGATGAGATGAGATGTGGCCTGCGAGCACCATGCTCCGGAACCGCTCTGCCGGAGCACGGGGGAACGTGCTCCGGAAACGCTCTGCCGGAGCACGTTGGGGAGCACGGCGGAACGTGCTCCGGAAACGCTCTGCCAGAGCACGCTGGGGAGAGTGAGGCGGAGAGATGTTTGAGGGTGGGCTGAGAGAGAGAGAGAGAGAGAGAGAAACAGAGAGAGAGAGAGAGAGCGCACCAGTAGGGACGTGATGCTCCTCCGCGGGCGGAGGGTGCAAACACCTCCTGCTCGGACATAAATGGCACGGGGGTGGACAGAGCCCCCACCCTGACTCGTCGATGAGTGAACTGTCAGTTTTCGGTTCTCGGTAGGGCGCCGCGGCCGTCATAGGTCGTTTTCACTAAACCACGTTTCACTAAAGAGGGTGCTGTCCATCCCCAAACAATGGCAGGGGTGGCCAGCAGGGGTGGCCAGGAGGAGGGGGAGGAGGAGGAGGAGGAGGAGGAGGAGGAGGAGGCGGAGGAGGAGGAGGCGAGGGAGGAGGAGGAGGAGGAGGAGGAGGAGGAGGAGGAGGAGGAGGAGGGTGGCCAGAAGGAAACCCCCCAGTGGCGCGTGCTTGAAAGGACCGCCGACTGGACAAAAAAGCAAGCGGTGTTTGGCGATCAGGGTGCGGCACGCCCCGTCGGCTCGCCAGAGGAGGGAGGGGAGGAGGAGGAGGAGGAGGAGGAGGAGGAGGAGGAGGAGGAGGGAGGGAGAGGAGGAGGAGGAGGAGGAGGAGGAGGAGGAGGAGGAGGAGGAGGGAGGAGGAGGAGGAGGAGGAGGAGGAGGAGGAGGAGGGAGGAGGAGGAGGGGAGGAGGGGGAGGAGAAGGAGGAGGAGGGGAGGAGGAGGAGAAGGAGAGGAGGAGGAGGATGGGGAGGAGGAGGAGGCGGAGGAGGAGGAGGAGGAGGAGGAGGAGGGAGGAAGAGGAGGAGGAGGAGGAGGAGGCGGAGGAGGAAGAGGAGGGGAGGAGGAAGAGGAGGAGGACGAGGAGGAGGGAGGAGGAGGGGGAGGAGGAGGAGGAGGAGGAGGAGGAGGAGGAGGAGGAGGAGGCGAAGGAGGAGGAGGACGGGGGAGGGAGGAGGAGGAGGAGGAGGAGGAGGAGGAGGAGGAGGAGGAGGAGGAGGAGGAGGTGGAAGTGGCTCAGTAGGGGGCGTACGCTTCCTGCCAGTCCAGAGCGTGAGTGCCCCTCCGTCACATATGGAGGTGGGCCGCAGGCGGGAAGCCGCCAGAGGCCTGGGGCGAGAGCTGCGCACGCGGCGCGGACTCTTGCCCCTGCAGCGGGGATGGCCCCGCACGTTTGTGGCACAGAGACTACGGAAAAGAAAAGCACAAATCCGCGGTCCCCAGGAAAATGGAGGAGCTCCTTAGCTACCCCTCTCGGGGGCGCGCCAGAAGCTCAGGCAGAATCGTCCTTTGCGATTTGGTCAGATTCTAGACTCGACTGAAGCTCA